TCCGCTAGCCTGTCATCTTTTTAAAGTAGGTCAAGGGGGTATAAAAACAGCAAGTTCAGACGATACATTTGTTTAAATCAGCATAAAGGTTTTTACCTGCTCCTTTTGTTTCTGGCAAATAATAAAGTTCCGAGATTATTCTGAGGCATTATTACAAACCATGACGCTGCTAAACAGAATTGCACAATACTTTTGCAACTGGTCAATTAAGTTAGCACAACCTCACAGCAAGTCAAATTATAGGTTGAATTAACACAAAATGTCAAAACAATCCAACAATAAACCCAAAAGGGCTTTTTGTGTTCTTTTGAAAAAGAAGATTGCTCACCATATTATTTCCAAAGTTTTGTCTATGGCTGGCTAACTAACAGTGCCCTATCTGAGTAACTCAGGAGTGATTAACCACCAATTACAGCCAAAAGAGATAAATGCTTTATGAATGCCACAGGCTGGCAATCTTTAAACACAGGGTACCATGCTGCATACAGCTGAAGAGAATGAATGGGCCACTTGCCATGCAAACATTATTTAAATATGCACTGTATGAGGACACCAATAAAAAGCTATGATATGACTAAAAATGACAATGTGTGCAGACAATACTATGAGCATTTCATGATGGAGCTTTTGAAAGTTGAAGAGACGGGGCTCCAGAAGGAAGCCAGACACAGGGACAGCAAGGGAGCAGACTGAGAGTTTCGATGCTAAAGAGCTGCGAAGGGAGCCCCAACGTGGTCACAGAGTCACGTCAAGGGTGCAAGCTGCCAAAGGTGCGTCTTGGCAGCAGAATGCAGGGGCTAAGTTAGAAAACAGTCAAGGAAAGGAGAGCAGGAGGAGAAGGAGATGGCAAACGAGGGTTCAGAAGTGCCCCATGGCAGAAAACCTGCAAGTGAATCAGCTGAAGGTAAGTGCTCCCTTACCGTGGCAGGATGCAAGACAAGCACACAAAACTGGCTGAACCAAACACACCTGTCTCTGCGCTGGCACCTTACCTGGCAGCCCAAGGCACAGCAGGGCACTGTAGTAGATAACAGGCAGCAGTCCAAGAGGGCAGCTCTGCAGGCTGTGCGGCTGCCCAGTGCTGTTGTTGAAGATGTGGTTGTGCTCCATCGACTTCCTGTCTCTTCCCCGCTCTCGGCTTCTCCCCAAACTTTAGGGCAGCTCTGCCTGCCAGGGAACGAGATGGAGGCAAGCACCCCGAAGCTGGTGCCGAGGGTCTGGCAGCGTCCTTGGGCGGCAGAGACCATGTGCGCGTGTGAGAGCCGGAATGGGAGAGAGGAGCGAACGAGAGAGAGAGAGCGAGAGAGAGAGAAGCTGGATGTGTGACTGACGGGGAGAAATGAGAGAGAGAGAGAGAGTGAGAAGGAGAGGCACGGAGAGGCTGCGCATGTGACCGAGTGAACAGAAATGTGGGGAGAAAGAGAGAGAGAGGAAGGCAGGATGTGTCTGAGAGAACGGCGGCGCACAAAGGAGAGAGGCTGAACGTGAGGCGGCTTCGACGAGGAGAAGACGTGTCGACAGAGAGGGGGGAGAGAGAAAGAGATGGAGGCAAAGAAGAGGAGAGGGAGAAAGACAGAGCCTGGGTATTTGAGAGGGGAAGGAAGGAGATAGGGAGATAATGTGTGTGTGCAACAATGGGAATTTTACAGGCTTTGAAGGAGATGTAAGAGACCAGGAGAATATGTGTGGATGGAGGACAGGAGTCTGTGATGCAGTGCGCTGCCTGACTGTATATAACACTAAGCTTCTTAGCCAACAGGCAGACAACTTAAACACAACATCCTGAATAAAAGCACCTGCTGCCTCCAGCTCCCTGATGTAGAGAGCAATTAATTAAGAATAAGAGCAAGTCAGTCGACAGAATGCTGTTAGTGGCAGAGGTGCTGGAGAAAAGGGAGGGAGGGATAGAACAAATCCTTAACAATTTGCTTGGGAGCAGTCTGGGGTTTGTTGGTTCTCCAGTCAGCAGCGCCCAATTAATCACTTTAGGTGAGAAGCTGATAGCAAAGCGAAAAAGCCCTTCATCCAGATCTGGCTGGGAACGGGAGCTTCGATGCTGTTAGCAGCCATTTTCGATTGGTACAAAAACATTTCTTAGCTCGGCTGGCTCTCAGTGCAAACGATTGCTTGTTAATCATCTCCGGTACGCAATCCTCATATTGAAACATCCCGACCTGCATTCTTTAATCAGAAATCAAAACTGCCCGGGTTCCCAAAAATATGAGGGAAAGAGTAGCTGGGCACCTTACATTTTCTGTGGTGAAGGTTGGAAGAACCTTTATGCCATCAGCTGTATTTTTCCATTTTAAATCTCATCAATGAAACATTCTTTCTTTTGTTCTTCTCATTCTCTTATTCTTTGGGGAAATAAGATCTGCACTGTGTGATTTTCCAGTTAAAGTCAGATAACACAACAGTGCAAACTGTGTGATTAAAATTTCATATCAGTGCAATAGAAAGATGAGGACCTAATGCAATCTTCCCACTTCCAGACGACAATGTAATATTGAAATAAACATCCTTTAATTTTATGAACTCCAGAGACACAGGGATGTTCTTTTGATCTAGCCTATTCTATATGATATAGAGGTACAAAATAACTATTGAAAGAACTATTCATCTTCAACTTCTCATTTATAGTCTGAAGCAGGAAAATAAACCAGACAACAATACCGCCATAAGTACATTTTTACATGCAGTTTGAGTAGTACTGATCATCCTTTAGAAATCCACTCTAGCTCCACTTGAAAATGAGATTGCATGATGCTAATCTAGGGTTAATCTGGCTGTGAGATGTAGTGTATGTAAAAAGGAGCTCCAAAAAGTAGCAGACAACAACCTAGACCTTTGGTTCTAAGTCACTACAGAGGACAAACCGCAGGGCAGAACTGGAAATATAGTGCTAACTGAAGCAGGGTTGAAAACAAGAGAACAGTAGGCAGGAGGTTTGTGAAACAAGCAGCCAACTCGTGTGGTGACTGTGGAGTCTGTGGTTCTGCTCAACCATAGTCCTCATGCAGGTCTTGCACACTGAGCTGCTGGAATGCAGGTGAGCAAAACACACCGAGCCACCCTCAAGTATATCTAATGTTCTTTTATTCCATAATTGTATTGATGAAGCCTCTTAATTGTTCATTTTCCACGGTACATACATTGAGGTTTCTTGAGGTAAAACTGCACACCTGTGTCTGTTTAAAGACCCGGGCGCCTCAGGCAGTCCCACGTGAGTAGGTGGAGCCACAGGCCGCAGCCTGACTGAGAAAATAAACTCCAATCAAGTCATGAATATTTCATGAAAGTCATCCCCGGGCTCTGACATTTCGCTCACTTTGGCTCTGACAAGCCCCGTGCGCAACAACGTGTGCTGTCTGCGTGTGCTTTGGAGCAACGGGCGGGCGTGTGTGAGGGTAAATAAATGAAGAGACCTCCACAAAACGTGCTGGTGGCGGCGCCTCCTGAAGCTTTATCCCTACGCGCGCGCTGCGATAATTACGCAGCCATTATCTGACAATCAGATCAGAGAGGTAGCTGACCATTGCCAAGGAGCACTCAAGAATGGGTCATTTCAGGCTTCATTTGGGAGAAGCTGTCTAAACGAGAGATGGTTTTTAATGTATGCTTTAGATTTGTCAAGCTCTGTCACATAGCTGACTGGCATATTTTCAGGATCGATTTGGAATTACTTCTTGACCATATGGCATTTATAGCATGTCAGTTTTATGAAATTTCACCATGCATTGACTTATCTTTGAGATGGCCTTGTTTCCACAATTTTACCATATTTAACGTAAATATACTATGTTTTACTTTACTTTTACTCTATTATTTTCCTTCAATACCATAGTAAATATTCATAAGGGAATGTAGACCTACTATAACAACATCTTTCAGTTTAAGGCCTGCGTTCTTTTTAAAATGATTGCATAGTGTTTATTGAACACTTTCAGCATGTCTTCTGAATAGACAGAAAACGCAACATGCAGTATATCCGTTTTTGACACAGTCCAGTTGCTTCTCTGTTGCTATCAGAAGAGTGGAAATGATGCCACAAAGAGAATCCAGAAAACTGATCTTTCTCAGGTAAAAAGGACTGACAAGCAGGACTTTTAAAATAATCAAAAGAAGCCTCATTTCTAGAGTAATTGTGTCAAATTTGTGACATTATTATCGCAAAAATCCTAAAACATTTCTATGGCATTTTTAGACACAGTTTAGGTAAATTCATGCAGATTAACATCTGCCATAAGAAGGGTGTCTACGATTAAAATCACAGGCCAGGAGCATGGGAGGCCAGTGCTGGAAGAAATACAAGCTGTAGATCTGGGACAAGCATGTGGTTCTTTACTGGTCTCTCAGCCCTCAACGCCTCACATTGCTGAAGCTCATCCATCAAATGTTCAGAGAGGCTCATGTCTTGCAAGCAGGGCTTTCACAGAACAGCCACCACCTTCCCATCTCACAGTAATGCTGTTGCAATGCGAGCCGCAAGCGGACGTGTCTTTTCTTGCTGGGATGATGTAAGGATGAGGCCGCGGAAGGTCTCGGGATTTGAGAGATGTAGCACTGCCCTGTCGGGTTGCCATCAATCCCCGCAAGAGGAGCTCTGGAGCGGCTAAACACTCCTACCCAAACCGTCAAACTGGAGAAAAGATAAACGTCCAGTCCTGACTACAACCACAGCAGCTCCCCGAGCCCATGGCTCCACCTCTGGATGGGACACCCACCCCTGGAAAGAATCTGAAAAATGGTCACTCGACACAGACTCAGTCTTGGCAGAGCATGCCATTAGTGGTACTAAAACACCTTCCATCCGAGCCTGCACCGGTTGTCTCTTCTCCAGAGGGTTGATGGTAATGGTAAGGTGGCTCATGCATTTATTGGCTCTTTGATTTCCCCGCACGGCTCTCTTAGCTGACCGAGATTTCAACGCAAGCAGGATCCATGATCCAGGTGAAACTCAACCAAGGTGTGGGATACTGACAGGCAAACCCTGCTCTTACCCTCATTCAAAGTCTTCTCACCCTCTGACAGCTCTCTCATTTCGCCACCCTCTCACTATCTGTGACTTTTGTTCCTCGGGGATAGTGGGGCTTCATTCTTTCGGGGCTATAAAACAGATGGGAAAAGAAATGGAATATTACTGAGGCGCAGAGGTGTTTTGAAATAACAGGTTGTCAAAAAGCATTTATCCTCCAGGGGCAGCTTATATTTCCTTTTAAAACCACATCTCTTTTTTTCAGACTGCAGAGAAGAAGATTCTTAAAGTTTACCCATGGCAGAATATCTCAAGAGACCAAAGCCTATGCAGAAGAGATCGTTTTGAGCTCCTACAGTTCAATTCCGGCATGCAGTATATCCAACTAAACATGTCATATTTCAAAACTGTGGCTGGAGAGTAATTTGATCTGGTAATAATTTCAGATGGTATTGACCCGAGTTTATTAACATGCCTTTCAGGAGAGGAAAATAATCATTCTAATTATAACCCTCTTATTAAGATCCTGCATCAGTTGCATATGGTGATACATTCTGTACAAATCCATTCGTCTACGGAACAATTATTGAACAGAACGGGCATTTTGAGGTTCTTGGTTGCTTTTTTATCTTAAATTTATGACTCTGGTATGTTTGGCCTCACAAAAAATGCTGAATTCATAATTATCTGTAGCTGTAAAGTTTAGGTAAATACTGTAGACTGACTATGATGCTTTAAAGAACCTGTAGATCTTGTCCAAGAGATAACAAAACTATATTACTTCTCCATTCTTCTCTAGTACAAGGAAATATTCCTAGGTAAACTATTATTTTAATATAAATCAATAATTCTATTATTTATATCAGTTTTCAATAAATATTCAATAGAGTCCAATATGAGTTTCTTACATTCCACTACACTGCATACCAGCGCTGGGGTCCTGGGTTCAATTCAGGACCGGGGATGCTGTCTGTGTGGAGTTTGTATGTTCACTTGGGTTTCCCCCAGGTGCTCCAGTTTCCTCCCATATTCAAAGACATGCTGGTAGGTAAAATCGACTTCTGGGAAAATCAGCCCTGGTGTGAGTGTGCGTTTGCGTCTGTCCTGTAGTGGACTGGGTGTTACCTGCCTTGTGCCCATTGCTTGCTGGGATAGGCTCCAGCTCCCCCACGACCCTCAAGTGGATGAAGCAGATAGAAAATGGACGGATTGATCTATGGGTCTACTCCGACAACACATAACTAAGGATTTTTGACAGGTGGAGAAGTAATTGATGGAGGAATCTCTGGAAAGCTTGATTGCAAAAGCCTAGAGTGGAATATGACCAGGTCTCCCTTACTCTTTATTAACCACGGAGTCAGGACCACAGTTTAAAGTCTCTACAGGTTGCCTTGGTGACCCTACTGGAAGCTTGATGGGTTCTGGTCCAGAGGGCAACAGTAAAGCAGTTACACAACAGTGAGTTCCTTTGTAGATTTTACACATTGTAGATTCTTGTATTTAAGGAGGCACCAGGTGTTGGATCCTCACGTGTACGGTACATTCATTTGCTATCCAGTTTCACAGTGCTCCCATCACTTAGCTTGTAAAATCCTTAGATTTGACTGCCCTGCATTTGGAGTTTTATGTCCATGACACACACTCACATAAATATTATTTCCCTAATTGCCATTTAAGACTCAAGAAAGCTTTTATATAAGCAGTAGCGTTTGACCTCAGGGACTCACCTCAGACGTCAGTTTCCCTCGTTTATGAATCACAGTTTCCTTCGTCTTGTCCGTGGTGGTTGGAGATGGCTTAAGTAATGGAACTTGCCTCAGTGGCTGATGCCATCCATATAGAAACACGCTCCCTTGTCACTCACTGTAATTACGCAGTAAAAACAGAACAGCGGTTTCCAAGTAGTTAATGCAGAATGCAAGAGAACACGGCCAGTAGCAGGGACAACAAAAGCTGGTTGGCGCTTCGAATAATAAGCTTAGCAAAAGCAGTCTACCAACAGCATATGCCACCTCTGGCTGGGAGCCATTATATATCTTCGCACTGTAGAAGGCCTACTGACATCATTGTGCAGGGAGATTTTTTATCTGCTTTTACAGCATATCAAGATTTATAAAGGACATCATCAGGTCTGGGCGGCATAGCGGCACAGTGGTGAGCACTGCTGCCTGGCAGCCCTGGTAGCCTGGGTTCAATTTCAGACCTGGGATGTTGTCTGTGAGGAGTTTGGATGTTCTCCTTGCGTTTGTGTGGGCTTCCTCCAGGTCCTCTGGTTTCCTCCCACTGTCCAAAGACATACTGGTGGGTTAACTAGCTTCTGGAAAAATTGGCCCTCGTGTGAGTGTGTGTGTCTGTCCTGTGATGGACTGGCATCCCATCCAAGGTGTACCCTGCCTGTGCCCATTGCTTGGCTGCGATAGGCTCCAGCTCCCTCATGACTCTGAATTGGATGAAGCAGCTAGAAATAGGATGGATGGCTCTTCAGGTCTACTCTGACAGCACAGAGCTTGATTTGATGATCTAGTCATTCCCTTCAATTTGAGCGTGGAACAGTAAAGAGTGGATTGGGGCTACTGTGGCTAGATCACTCTCACAGCAGCATATTTCTGTGATTTCTGTGCTGGGCTTGTGGTATTGAAGTTTCTGCTTTGCTTTTTTAAGGCATGTCTGCCTGCTCTCCATCCATTCAGCCTTGTGCAAACCTCAGCGCTGTCATTTTATATCGGTGCTGTCAAGAGCAGGAAAACCCAACTGAACTCAGGGCAGGGAATTGGCAGCCACAGAGCTCTCTGTATTCAACGCATTGCCTTTGTGCTAGTTTAATTGAAAATATTTAATTCCACATTTGGTGTTTTAAATGTGTTTTTCCTCTGCATGTTAATATAATAATGTTAGGAATGCTAACATTGTCCTTGACTCAACCAAGTCTCACAGCACCATAGTAATCTCTCATCGGGCAAATAGAAAAGAACAGAAGGTGGAGCTTTCTTCAGGTGTACATGTCATGTCTTCCGCTTAAAGTGTTCTGAGAGTCTGTGGGGAGACCCCAAGTGCTGGACGACAGGACAGCTGCAGGCAGCACCGTGTGGTAGCAGGCTAGGGACACAGGCAGAGTGGTGATGAGCATGCTGGCAAGCATGGTGCAGGCAAAACACAGTCCAGATTCATGGCCAACAGCAAAGCGTGGCTCAGAGCTAGAGACACACAAAGGGGCAGATCCAGGAGACATGATCAGAGCGAAAGGTCAAAGATCCAAGGCACAACACAAAACAGGGAACTTAAGAACTAGGAATGCAAGGAGGCTCCAAGTAGACTGTTAGTCCGAAACTCGAAGTATCCTGAACCACCTGAAATGGGTGTGGTTGTATATGGCCCACAGGTGTTACAGACCTCTTGTCTGATTGCATATACATAGTAACTGTCACTCACTGATAGGTTAGTAGATGTGGGGCTGGCTGCTATGGCAACTAACGGGGGCAAGCCTGACAGTTTAACTTTCAGTTGTTTGACCTGAAATACAGTCCACAGTCCAGATGTTTTTAATTAGTTTTTTCAATGAGCAATTAATTTCTACCTGTCCCTTTGCACTTCGCACACTGGTGCAGCTGCCCACTCGAACCTCATGACGGGAGTTCTGTACTCGTCTCACAGTCGTTTACTACAGTAAATTAGTCCAGAGCAGTAATTAAACGCCATGAAGGTATGGATAATCACGGGCAACCCAGGCACAGCAAGGTAAACTAGAATTAAGATTTTAGGGCAGAGCTCTGCATGTGTACAAACGTCCATAAAGGTGACACTTTACAAACATAGCAGCATCAGCACCTGAAGCACTGCTGTCAAGGTGAATGTCAAGGGAACGGAGCCAAGCTATGGATTTTAGGCGTTAGGAGAGGCTTTTATTTAATTACTACTTTAAGCCGCTTAACCAATGACCTTTAATGATCAGGGAAGAAGGAAAACTAGCCCCAGCTGGGCAGATGAGCACCCATTTCTCTGAATGGGAAACAGCAGCTCACGTCTCCTCAAGGGGCTTGGCGTACGACTACACCACGCTGTTAAACGTTCATGCAAATAGGTCCTGTCCATTGATCCTCTCGCGTGCATATGCTAGCGACCTGCCTGCCTCCTTCAACAGGATTCAAAGGTGCTGTTGAAAGTCAGAAGCAGGTGATCACAGATACCCATCAGATTCATTACGGATCAGCTAAATCAGAGAGTCGTCAGTTTTCAGGTGTTTTTTTCAAATCTTGCTGACAAAAACATAAAGCCAACGTTTAAGGAGCAGTCAGTCTTTCTTCAGTCTCATGTTTTTTAATAATACGACTGTCAGAAATGGTTATGATTTTTGTAGGCAAGAGTTCATCTTTTTTTGCAAATACTCAGATGTCAACTACTGTATAACCTTAATCCTTCCATCGAAGGTAAGCGACAGCTTTCCTAAGCATGCCAAGTATTGGTATCTGTGGCAATGTCACCACGTTCTCCAGTACAGGGGTCTTTAGGGTATGGGGGCACTGCAATAGACAGAGCTGGAATGGCATTTTCAGAGTCTTGCCCATCAAACAGATTTACTTGTTCTAGGGGTAAGTGCCTGCAGGCATAATCAGACTCTGCTGGACCCCTGCCAACTTCATTAAACATTTATTTCTCCTTGGGCAAGGATGTAACAATGATCCTCCCCCCCCTCCTCCTCAGAGCTGTTATACGGTGCCCCCTGACATCGGCACCGACACAATTAAAAAGGAAAACAATGAGCAGTTTTCTTTCTGCTTTCACGGCTTCACCCATGTCCTAATCGAGGAAAAGATTAATTTTAATGGCTTCATCTGCCGCAGAAGCCCTGAATGAAATTTCTGGGAGCCTCATTCTGAGACTCAGCTGAAGGAAAAGAGGGAAATGGGAATTTTGCTTCCACTGCTGGAGTATAGTTGCCACTCAGCTGGACATTTTGGGCAAGGGGCATTTCCACTGTGATCAAGGCTTCTCTGATTTGTCTTCTTTGTTTTGTTTTTGAGAAAGCCATTTTAAACTATAATGACCCATCATGACACCTTCTTGTTTTATATCAAATAAAAACAATTACTTTTTTTACATAAAAAGTAGCCGTGCTTATTGTGTTTAGAGCCTAAGCAGTGATTTGTAAGAATCTGATGTTTCGAAAGTCTGAAATAATCAATCTTTACAATTCTATTAGTTGGTGATTACCCAAAAGTATGTAGGTAAACGATATTAAATGCAGGATCTGTTTCAGTTTTATCTCTACTTTCTCTCATTTATTCCTACCACGTGGACAGGGGTTTATGAATTAATCTATTAAAACAGCCCAAAATTGTATTGGACATTGAATTTCAAGATGTGCTGGACAATGAACTACATTTTGCACAATCAACAAAGACCAAGACTTAAAGCTTCAAGGACGTTAGAGAATATAAATACCCAAGAGCAATACTACAGACCATCAGTGCTCACTCTCCTCTCCTGTTATCCAATACAGCAGTTCAAACCGCCTCTCTTCTACAAAATGTTCAATCACTCTGGTGGAAAAACTCAGCGTGGAAGTTCCTGATCAGACCACACTAAAAGGAGATCAATCAATAATGCATGCTGGGAGTTTCTGAAACCACCCTGGGACTGAGGTGAGTCACTCATCCCCACCTGTGTGGCAAATACTGTACATCGGTAGCACTTACCACTGGCCAGTGCCCACAAAAGTGATACGGCGCATGTCTCGTGGATTTAAAATCATTAAAAGATCATTGTGCACCTTGCAGCCATTCTTACAGATCCTGTAAGCCCATGCAGTGCTCTCTTCTCTGGGCTTTAGGGGGTGTGAGCAGTGACATTTGGAGGAATGACTCAGCCCTCCTGCATACAGGAAGGTAGCCTGCTGAGTCTGTAGGGTCCTGCTTGACAGGAGTCATTCTACTTCTAGAAAAGAGTACTCACACACACTGCAGGACTCAATCAGGGGAGACCAACACCAGATCGATTTACCTACACCTTAGCCTTCTTTTCAAACAATCCAAGCCTGTCCTACCATGTTATGCCAATGTCTTGTTTCACATGGTGACCCATTTAGTGTCTTTATCCTTCAATTATATAAAAGCAGTGTTTAGTCACTCCCGGGCACTTTCAAAAAAACACTTGATATAAGCAGTGGGCTAGCTGACTGAAAGTTACTGTTGACTCTATCAGATACCCATGCCAAGCAAGGGGTGAGGGAAAGTCCTTCGTAGTAGAATTACTGCCATGAGAGCAGCTTTGCTTCTTTGCAACCTAATCTTGCCAGATCTCAGAAGCTAAGCAAGGCTGGGCCTGTTCAGTAGTGGGATGAGAGACTCTAGGGAAAACTAGGTTGCTGTGGTGACCAACGGGAGCTGGTCTTCCACCTGGACCACTATTTCCAAGCCGATGCCTGTATTTGGTGACTGGTGACACTGTGCTGTAGAAGATTCTACTGATAAGATGTTCATCTTAGTGTGCCCTAAAAACTTGGTCATTACAAGTCTAACACTTGAGTTCTTTTGTGAAATTCTTCTTTTGCACGACACATGAGAAAAATTGCAGTGCACTAGGATCTACAGGAGGATCTAGCTGAGTAGTGCAGTGGTTTTCAAATTGATCACACCCTTGGGATGCCCTTTAATCTCTCTGACCACATATTTTCAATCTACCTTTCCTGGTAAGATCACAGCAAATCACCTCAAGGTCACCTCTAAGTTAAAAAAGTAACTAAAGTCAAAATGCTTTTCTATCTTCGGAGTGTGAAGCCGCAAAATTGTGGCACTTGTTCATAAAATGTTGCACAGCAGTGCTGTTACGATCGTTTACGAAGGGTTTGGGAATAAACCCATCTGCTG